TTGCTTCTCCCTTGGGGCCGAATCTATATTTCCTCCCAGCTGGGGGAGAATAAAGCATGCACACATTCTGGCTCCTTCCCTTTGCTCCTTTCACTGGTTGCACACATGGAGATACCAGGGAAAGAGGCACCAGCAGCCAAAGCCAGGATGCTCCAGAGACTGGTGTTGGACCCCCAGATGGGTTAGAGTCCTCAGCAGGTGCCCAATGACTCCAGTCCTTGATGTCAGATTGCAGCCTATAATCCTCGCCTCCTTCTCTGTCAATGACTCTCTTTGAATCCAGTGGAGCTTAATCCCAAGTGAACATCCATGAGTTTAGGCTCTAAAGTTTGTGGCCCTGCATCATGTACCTTCTTGTAGCAATCCTTCCGACAAGAATATGAGCCTGGTCAGCCTCAGTATTAATACCCAAATATTAAAGGCGTTACTGAACACCACCACCACCACGTCGTGTGTGCCCAGCTAAATCAGAGGCTTCTGAGATCACTTAGAATTCACCAAAACTAAGCTTGACTGAAACTTCTGGGCAGCTTTAGTTTGGAATAACTTTATCTTCTGTCTAGCTGACTATCTACCTGTATTTATTTCTAGGAGCCCCCTCAAGGCAGTGAACAGGGCAAAAACCACATTTAAAAAAAACTATAAAAATAATTTCAATAACATCCATAAAAAAACAAGCTGACCCACTAAGATCAACAGAAACATATTCTTATCATGTTAGAGCTATCTCAATGGCCGCTCAAGGCAGATGCAAAATAATTCTATTGGAAAACAGAAATATGATGCTTTTCTTTGCTATAGTGTTATGAGCACCTGTGAAAACTGCTTTTTCTTCAAACCCCTGCTTCTCTTAAAGGACAGACAAAAAATGTTCTCAAATACATTCCCTGTACCTGCATAAGCAATTCATTTAAATGACTGGAAACTAGCGAGGGGAAAATGACCTGCCAAATTATTCTCATTATCTTACTAACATTAATGAGGAAACCCTTAAGGGTAAAAGAGAGTACATCGAAATGGGAACATGGAATGGCTTTATATGCCTTTCCAATTACATGCTCCCTTGCTCTAGTGGAAAAGGTGATTTTTGCCATGACACACCAGGATAGTTCTACTGCTAACCAGTGTAGTCAATGACAGTGACTGGGTTCACATGACACACTAACATACTGCGGTTTATAAACTGTGGTGGCTTAGCATATTGTGCAACCCTGGAACACCGCTATCGGGGGGCTTAGTTTTGCCTTGTAGGATTCTGGGGTGCTACCCCTTGCAGTTTACCTTATTAAGTTAGCATGGCAAGGTAATTAGGCAAATTACATATTGCATGATGGGCCAGGAAAAGAAGACACCAGGGCTTCTTTCCCCCCTGTGATTATATGACCTGAGCCAACATGTGCATGTGGTGCTGAGATTTTCGGCAATTCCCCCTTCTGATAGCAGTCCCTTGTCTACTCTGGGACAAGGTCAGTGCTACTTGAGCAGATTTGAGGAGGTGTGGAGGGTTTTGGAAAAGGGGGGGGAATCTGAAAATTGGCCCTTCCCTGTTCTGTGGACAGAAGGTTTGTGTTGGTGCAGGGAAATGAACTGGATTCTGTTGCGGATAAAGTTGGAATGAAGAATTTATTGATGCCTTGCTTCATTCACAGAAAATTACCAGGGGTGTGGGAAGCAGACCATGTTGTTTTTAGTTAGTAGTCCTCATGCATTTTCCTGCCACTTACCAGAAAAAAGTCCATTTGGACCAGCAGCTCACAGTGCCTTTTGGCTTGGTAGTGCTAGGAGCCCTCTGTCTGGAAGGATCCTAGGGCAGAAAGCACAGATGTTGTTGGGAACGAAAATCCTTAATTCTCTGCAATCTATTTTTGGCAATAGTTAGGGCAAAACATGCCGCCCATCTGGTGATTTCTGTGCCAAACCGTTTCCTAGGAAGAGGAAAATATCCCCATCAGCTTTCATTATAGCAGAGTTACGAAAAATGTGGCTCAGCACAGTAGAACCCAACACATCATTCGGGTTCAGCATGAAAGCATAAATCATGCTGTCCAAGCTCTTCAGCTGAGCAAGGCTCACATATGTGCAGATGTTGTTTGGGGCTAGATTGACAGCGTGGTGATCCGGACATCTGGCAGGCACTTCCAATACGCTGCATGCACTTGATTGAAAGAAAGAGATCACAATGCAGCACGTTTAAAATATGCTAGCTCCAAAATCCTGGATTGCTGGTGTGGCACTTGTGCAGCATGGTGAGTAACAGTTCAGCCCTAGGCCTGCTAGTAAGTCCCACTGGATCAAATGGGGCTCACTTACAGATAAAGACTGCATAAGGTTTAAGACTGTAACTTTATGCTTACTTATGAACAGACACGCCTGGCATTGAGCTATAAGGGTGTGAGGGAGCTGGCAGCCAGATCCTCATCACAGCTCAAAATTCAGAAGGCTCGAGCTTTCTGAGTGTGTTGCTTCTCTAAAACCCAGGTCTGGCCTATAGGGTTGGCTTGTTTTAAAATGCTATCTTGCCCTCTGCCCAAGGATATCTCACAGTGCAGTCAAAAGGAATAGCAGCACATAGAAAAATCAAACCAAAGAAATAATAACCTAAAGAGACAAAGCTGATTTAGCCTTGCCAAAAAAAATAACCCTAAAAACAGATCTTCTGCAGCACAATCTTGTGATTTACTTGGAAGAGAGTTAATCCAAGGTAATTTTGCACAGGATTGCAGCTTCAGCCTGGAAACAAGAAGAGCCCTGACAGAACCATACATGAGGCATGATAAGTTAGGGGTCCACCAGCAAAAAGACTCTGCCTCTTATGATAGGGCTGTTGTAATGATTACTGAAATGATAATTATAACTGGATGATATAAAGGGACATTGAGCAACCCATTCTCAATGTTGTGTAATAGGACACAGAATTCCTGTGTTCTAACCAGGGCAAAACAAAAACAGGAGAGATTTTTTTCTAGCCAGCCATGGTTTATACTTCAGCAGAGAAGGATACGTAGAAAATTAGGTTTCCAACTATTTACATGAAAATGTCCGTGGGTTGCTGGGGCTACCTGTGAGTGCTGAACACCCTTTCCACTTTGCGTCAAGTTCAGCAAACAACCCAGGAATAATGCCCCATTCCTGGATTATGCAGTGTGATGTCTGAACCTAGCACTCTGGGCTGCTGAGGGAGAGAGTGAGCAATGAATACAGGGGAGGATTAAAGGGTCCAAGCCCAAGACTTGTCCATGTAATGCTACACCGTGATTTGCAATTATGCATGCACAGGCTAAACATTGAATGTATGTCCCATGTTTTGGGCTAAGATTAAAGGGAGGTCCTGGGACTTTAATAGTTGAAAGGCTACCAACTTGTCAATCTGGATTTGATCATGCAAAAAGCCAACTCTTGCCTGAAAAAGTAGGGCTTTTGTATCAGGACTTTGAAATGGCAGAATTCGGAAGGTGACAGAATCCTATTGATGGGATTCCTGTGGGCCGGCTACTTCTTAGCTTATGATGCTGGCATGTTAGGAGATCAACAAGTCAAAGATCCTAGTTGGACACAGTGCTAAAGATACCATGGAGAGACTACCTGCTTTGTTCAGCCACTTCTGCTGGCAGGAAGAACCATGTGGGAACTGAGTGGTGTACACAAGGATGTGCTTGGTTATTCACAGAAAACCAGCATCCTCAGCAATTCTGGCAGTAGGTGTGAAAACAATTTGAAAAGTGGCATTGTCTCTTCTGCTCTTTTATATTACCCTGTGTTTGGGAAGGAAATCTGCAGCATACTAAACATTTATTAGGTTGGAGACATAGGATGTAATTGGCTTACCAGTCGATTGATCAGCAAAAGCTTTATTTTGTTAAGTAGTGCACACTTTTAATTTTAAGGGAATGTTTTAATTAATGGGACAGTGAATGAAGAGGATACCCACTTTGGTCCTGAAATAAGGAATTAAAATGAAAATATTAAAGAAAGCCTTTCCTTCTAAAAATAAGTGGTGATGTTTGTTTAGCAGACCAAAAAAGTTATTTTACACTTGATATCTCAGAAAATGGCAGCTGTGCTGAAGGGTTTGTAATATATAAAAATATTTACATTAAATCAAGTGGGCACTTAATCATTTAAATCGAAATTAATCACATTTTCACTGGTTAAGAGACCTAGCTTGGATATATAAACACACATACTTGAACCATTGGGTTTGCTTACCTTGACACAGAACCTGATCCAGGCGGTTCTGTCTGGCCTGAGGGATTGTGGGTAACCCCATGCTCACTCCTATGCCATGTGGCCCATGCAACAGGGGTGATGCATCTCTTTCAGCCTGAGGACTGAATCCAGTTTCAGATAAGCTCCTAGGGTCTGCATCCCTTTCGTGGAGATGGCTAAAATGCCCACATATGATAACTTAAAGCTCTTATAGGCAGGAGAGGAATTTGACCCTTTCAGAATTGGAGAAAAACTGCACAAAAGCTGGAAAACTACCAAATGACTGGGGAAAGAATGTGGGGCAAGGAAGGGGGCCTGACCACCTGGGAAACCCCCAAGGGCCAGATGTGGCCCACAGGCCTAAGGTTCAACACTGCCGCAGTACAGCATGGTCATATTTGCTTTAGTCCCCCCATTTATGAAACAGGAAGTAGGAGTGATGAACAAATCGAGGGTGCTATAGATGTTAGAAAGGCAGTAAAAATGGAAGTGCATATGTTGGCATGTCACCATTGTGTCTCTCCCGCTCGTGGCAGTGGGAGTGGAAAGCCCCCACACCGCATGTGTCGAAGTCTGTTCCCCACACAGAGTGGAGCTCCTCTGCTTGGGCCTCCCTGTGAAGCCATCACATATGACAGGGACCTCACCTCCCAGCCTCTTTTGTCATTAATCTAGTCTTTGTTGTTCTCTAATATTTAGTGGATTAAAATTTAAGCTTTTTTATGTGGCTGTGTTGACATAATCCAATATTAAAAATACTAACATTTCTTTACATATTTAACAATTCATGCCAGATTTCCCTATGGATTCTAATAATGGCAACTGTAGAGGCACCAGCGCTGGTGAGTACATTGTTTTTGATCTAATACCTTATTTTCTTCTTCATCTATGCATGTGTTGAGAACTAGTGTGAACTCGACAGAGGCAACATGGCAGTGGCATGACACGTGTGCTTGCGTGTGCTGTGATAATCTTTGCCCAGAGAATTGTATAAGCAGCAAGACACAACAAGCTGTTTAAGAGCAAGGTCACTCCTGCCTTTAGGCAGACTCAGGCAGCTGATTTAGGGTGTTATGGAAGGACAGCAAATTGTGAGTTATGTAGTGGGATAGTTTGCATGGTCACTGTTCTTTATACACATGATGAGCAGAATTCGCTGTCTGTGTCATGCAGCACACTTAAAGTTTCTGTACTCTCCAGATGTAGTCCAAGACAGTTTGCTCTCTGAAGGAGAGAAATGCTTTCTGAGGCAGAGATTGACTGAATTTGTTAAAAAGATCACAAAACAGCCATGACCACTTGTAGGGATATTGGAAGGTTTTTTTCCCCCCTTTCCAGCAAGCCCTACCACACAGGTTCAGAGGACACAGTAAAATGTGGCAACCCCCTACTGAGGGTTGGGCATTTAGAATGGCCACCAGCACACATCACATCCCACCATGACTGTGTGATCATGTCAACCCAATCAGTGTATTATTATTGTATCTTTTTGCCTGGGATGGAGAAGGTACCAGTGGGACTTACTGCCTCAGGTGCCAAAATACCTTGAATGTTATGCTGCTTGATCTGGAGTGCATGAGCAGGGGATTGAATTTCTCCCTGAGAGAGTATTTCTCTAAGGTAGCAAAATGTCTTGGTCTAGGCTTGGAGTGTAGCTAAAGTTCAGGTGTGTTGTATGGAAATGTATTCTATTTATATATATAAATGTCCTCAAGTCAGTGAAATAACGGTAGTCCCTGGGTTACGAATGTTTGGATTACAAACAACCCATACTTACGAATGCACAGACTGCCATAAACCCTATATGAATATTGCTCCTGAAAAGTATGAATATCTCTATGGAACTATCCAATGTGTATGGTGACACGTTGTTAGTGGCCACGTAGTTCCCTAGAGATAGAGTAGTCATGGCTATCTCTAGGGAACTACATGATGTGAATTCAGTGGCAGCTTAGTTCCCTGGAGGTGACACTATTCACAGATTTTCATTCCATGGCATTGGCTCTAGCACAACCAAGTATTTGTGTTTCAAGATACATGTAGGGTGTATAGTTCCCCTTTGGTTTTTTTGTAAAAAAAAAAAGTGCATTTGCCTTACTAACCAGGCCTTCAGCTGTTACAAGGCCATTTACGATGTGAAAAAGAAAATGGCCGTGCAAACATCCCTTGAGTCCAACTTCAAGAAAGTGATAACACCCCCGACCCCCCACTCCAGTAGCACAATCAAACCCTGACTCTCTAGCACCAGGTCCATCTCCATCATTATCAATTAATGTTGCTTCATGTTACCTCAAGAATGTTCTAAACTGTTTTAAGAACTGTTTCTTTTGTTTTTTTACAATACTGTACACCTACACACATACATACAGATTCTCTCTGTCTCTCTGTCTCTCTCTCCAGTACATGTAGTTACTATATTATTACTGCATTAATATTGTTATTAAAATGTTGTATTGTATTTAAGATGTTTTCATGAATATGAAACTGTTTCTTATGAATATATGCATAGAAGGTAAAATATACTAGGTATTTACTTACATATACTAAGACATTGGGCTTACTCATGTGATCCAAGTTACATACAAATTCAACTTAAGGGTGTTCTCAGGAAAGGAATCCATTCTTAACCTGAGGACTTCTTATACAGGAGTTTGCCAGGGTATTCCATATGGGACCTTATGAATAGCTCTTGAAGGGCCTGTTATCAGGATTCTACAGATCCACTCTGGTAATTGTCAGAAATCCACAGAAATTCCTTCCCTATGGAGAGAATTTAGGGCATGGAGGGATGAGATTGGCTATTCTTGTTCTGCCTGTCACAAGGAGATGGAAAGAGCAGTGTCTTCCTTTTTCTTGTGGATTTTTGCAGGAGTATGCAGTGTTCTTTCTGCATAAGCCAAGCGAAACAGAGTGAGACCAGCAGTTGGTCCTCCTGTGTCATCTGCCACTTGGGAGAGAGAAGCGGTGTTTTTTCCTCTGTACTTGCAGCATGTTTGTGGAGAGCAGAGGAACTATTTCCTCCTCTTAAAAGCTGATGCAAACAAACCCTTTCTCTCTCTGCAGAAACCCTGAGAGAAGGGAGGGGAAAGACGGGTTTGGCGACAATGACAAATACTGCTTGTCTGTTCAGCTGATGCAAAACATGTTGCTCCTTACGTGTTACACTACTATCCTCCCAATCCATTTGCCCAGGATAGAACATGGAAGCACCATTAATAGTACCTAATGGGCATGTTCATGGATTTGTGGGAGAGGTAGGGAGAATGCAAGAGCAGCTCTCCAGTTCTGTCCCCACAGTCAGAGCATGCTAGATTCCATGCCCTTCAGTCTGCTTCACTATAAGAAGGAAGCTGGTGCTTTGTGCAGCCATCGTGCAAAAGCAGGGAACATGGGGTGGTTTCACTTAGGGAAGGGAATCAGTCCTTGTGCCACAGGAGAACGTGGCAGGGTTGTGGTCACGAGCCTGTCAGACCTGAGAGGAAATCCCTATTAGGTGCCCATCTCCTCCCTGGCACAGCTGTGGCTTGGTGGTTTGGCACTGCACTGTGCCTTTCGACATGCGCTGCTGCTGTTATCACTGAGGGGGACACCTTTGCTAAGGAGCTGGATTGCAGGCGACAGGTCCGAGTACCACATCTGCAGGCAACACGTGCTTAGCGTCGCGTTGGTGTCATACAAGCTCTGCAGAAGCTCACTAGACAGGCCAGGACATAGCGCAGCTGCATTCATCACCTGACAGGAGGATGAGAGACAGGTGGTTGTCCTGTCGCCTTCTCCAAAAAATAAAGGGAGCTTTTCTAATGTTCAGGCTGGCTCAAAAGGATGGTTGAGTATCCCCTTTGTCTCTTCGCTGCCAAAACTCCCTACCTCCAAGTCAAACAAGCCACTCTTTGGGGGAATGGAAGGCAATGGGCAACAGGTGGCGGTCCATAGCAATTAGCCTGCAGGATGTAATTTTTTGGTGAGGGATGAATAGGACACCCATAATGTCTGGTAGGACATGTATGTTTGTGTGCCCTAGATCCATGGGCCTCTTTGCCAGCTTTTGCTCCCCACACTCCATTTTGAAAACGAAGCTGTTTGTTTGTTTGTTAGTGTGGAGAAGGCAAGTAAATCAGGTGACCTTCCCCAGCTTTTTCCTAATGTGTACTACAACTGTGATACTACAACTCTCAGTATCCCCAGCCCCAATTCAAATTATGGCTACTGCATTTGAATGGGGGAGGGGGTGTTTTGCATTTCAACTCCACATCCTTCAAATACTCACCCCAGCCGAAATGGAAATACCAGCGAGCAACCATCTTCCTTAGAGGTTGCCTTTAGTTAAAACATGAGTAAATTTGCTTTTCAGTGTGCTTTGTCTTGTGTGTGTATTTTGAGTAAAATTCTATAAATTGCTTGGAGTGACCATTTAAAAGAAAAGGAGAGTTGGTTGGAAGTGAAGTGAAATGTAAAGCTTTAAACATCATCTACATAAATCATGTTTTCTGCAGGTGCAGTTTTTTTCCAAAATTTTTTAATCTGTGAATCTGTTGTAAAGGAAATATATTGATCGCATCCAATGGGCAGTGTTGTACAGCTCTAACACTAGTGATGTTATGCTTGTGCAAACCATTGTGAGCACAACGTCTTTGGCACTTGCTAGTGCAAAAGTAAAGTGGCAATTTGCTGCTGCTGCTGAATTTCAGAGGCAAAAGCTACTTTGCACTAGCAGGTGATAATGACATTGCACTCATGTTGATTTTCACTGCTATCTCAGTACTGATGCCACAATGGTCTCACTGGCAGTAGAACAGGCAGAAGGGATGGGCAACTCTGGACTGCATTGCTCCTGCTTACGTGCTCTCTCCTGTTGATGCTTTAATCTTGCAGTTTTTATAAAAGTACAAAAACAGGCCTTTCTAAATGTATTTTTGCTGTAAGAAAAGGAAAATCTGTTTTTGATATCAATGATATCTGTATCAGGATTCCCAATGGTTAAACTACCCAAGTATCCCCAGGACAGACTGCTGGACTGGGACACAGGAGGACCTGCTCAGCCACGAAGCTGCCTGGGTGACTGCAAATCACTCACTACCAGCCCAAGCTCACAGGGTTGTTGCTGTGGTGAGGATTTAAAGGAGAGAAAGTAGAGGAGCCATGTTCTTGTAAGGCTCACCACAAGAAAATATATGTACAAAGCGCTTGAAATACTCTAAAATGTTCAGTAGAACTGTTAAGCATTCTTATTTATTTAGTTTCCACATTCTTTTACAATGGCAAGGATGGGATACTGTTCAAAGAAGAATTTTGGACTGAGCATACCTAAAGAACACTCTGCATCGTCTCTGGCGTATTGTGGGTGGTGAATCATGTCTGTGTAATATCTAATCAAGTCAACTTTTATCCCTGGCAAAGGCAGCTGGCAAAATACTGTGTATAAATATTAGCCCTCTTTCTTTGGCTAGACATTACATTTTTGTCTGTTTCATAAGATGTGCTTTGGGGGTTTTTAAAAACAGTTGCTTAGAAGATCTTCCAGGTTTCTATGTTTTCAAATAATCATTTTCCTGTATTTTGACAGGTGCAAATACTTGGGCTGCATGATAATGTGCATACATCTTATGTCAACGGAATAGTCCATGCATTCTTATAGGTTGCGATGCTTTTGCAGTGACTTTCGTCCCTCAAGCTCTCCACCACCCTCAGTTGCCTGAAGCTCTCTTGCTCCTCTCAAGCACCAACATGGTTGCCAAACCTCTCTTGTCCTTCAGTGTCCAGCTCAAAGATGTCATATTTTCTGTGACATGTCAGGTTAAGAGCAGAGAGAGACATAAAGTAAAGCATTCCCCCTCCCCCACGCACTCGCAAGTTTAATTGCAGTATTTGTGTCTGGGCAGAGGTGCGGCTAGGCACGTAAAAATTTCAGAGCTCAGTTGTATAGGTCCTTGATCTGCATACAATACACACATGTTGATTATTATGTTTATGTGTGAATTTAGAAATATTTTCTAGAATTGCTTTAAATCTCAAATAAAACAGATTCTTCAGTTAAGTGGCGCCCTGATCCAGATCATCACGGACTGATGGGAACAGTTTTCCCAAGCTTAATGGCAATGGAAAGAAAGACTGGGAGAGGGACATTGCTGCATGTGGGAAAGCTCTGTGGACCCCCTAGTAAATTGCCCCCTGCATGGCAATTAAGCTGAGGTTGGAGGACGCTTCCATTGGTAGCAGCAAGCAAGCGGGGTCTGTGGAAGAGATGCATCAGGGTCTTTGGACACAGATTTGGGGTAAGGCCCCCATGGGCTCAGGACTAGCAACTCTGCATAGAGTGTTCTGAAGATACAGACGAAATAAAAAAGAAATGTTGCTAATGAAGCATTGGCTAAGTAGTAGGAACCTGTGTGGCAACGATCTCCATGATTTATGTCCAGCTGATGGTTTTCTCACATTGCACAGCATCTGTTCCAGGCTTCTTACTCCTAGACTATTTGTTTTCATTGTCTTGCTTTACACATCACTGGTAGCATCTCTGAAACGCATCTCACACACACACAGATTTCAGCATAATTCCTGCGCAGGTCTCCCTCTAAATGCAAGTGTTGTGGTACAAGTCATTCACTGACTGTAATAGTCCTGCATTCCAGAGCCCAGGCAGAAATGAGCAGCTCAGAGCAAAATTCATATCCGTTCAATTACTAGGCATTACCCATATCTGCAAAATTCAATGTGCAATTGCTGTGACAAGGTGGGGGAAGATTTGTGCACTACTCCTGATGTAGAAAACATACACAAACACACTCCCTTCCTCACATTTGTACAAGTCAGGGGAGGCAACATGGTGGCCACAGTCCAGACATCTTTACTTGTGTCTAACCCTTCCTACTTCCTTTAATTAAATCATTTTCTTATCAGCAGAAACTGCTGTTTCTGTTGGTGTTAAATCCCATCTCTTTCTGCATTCAGACTTTTGGCAGACTGCTTGCCCTTTGGCAAGCATCCCATGGAAGTGGTGGTGACCAGGACTGTTTTTCAGATTGTCAAATGTGCCCATGGTGTGGAAGGCTGCCTGCCTCTGCCCCATGCAGGCAGCACTGTTGTGGCATCCGCTGTTGCTATTGCCGGAAGGGGGGCACTGGGGGAAGCTTTCTCCCTGGTTAAAGCCAGTCACCACTTGTCCAAAATTTCTGCTGATGACACGGAGGCACTTAAATTTTTGCCAGGATTTTCTTGATCATAGATATTGGGTGGATGGAGATTCGAAGACCTCTTTCCTGGATTAGAAAGCACTCTTGGTTCCTTCCCTGTCAACTTTCTGATGATACTTCTTCTGCCTGTCCTGGAAAATTGTCCAGAATGAAAATGTAGACCGAAATGAGGCACATGGAATACAGGTCAATTCCTGTCGTGGAAGACGGTGTGTGTTCCACATACCAGAGCGTCCAAGACAAATTCTGCTGCTGTCTGTCATGCGTCAAGTTCTCCTCTCTTTGCACATTCAAGGCAACAGACCATTTCTTTGCAAAAAGCTCTTTATTCACCAAAGGATACCCAATAAATGCAATCACCACAGAATGTATCTCTGAGCATGCACAGAGTGGTTCACTGAACCCAGCCTATGCAACTACTTCTGGAAAGCCTCCTTTGGAGTATGTCTGGGCCTGATGCCTCTGAAGGGCCTGTTTGGAAGCAAGCCCGGCTGTCCTCTCATTGGCTGCCCCTCCCCTCCAGATGCCATGCCGTGGGGTCAAGAGTTGTACCAGGTTCGTCTGACTCTGAGAGTCTCTCCCATGGTCCCACACGACACCCGTGCATCTAGGCTGTTCCCAGAGCTGGCCTGAGCACTTGGGGGGAGTGGCCTTGGGATGATAATCTCCACTTCTTTCTGCTCAGAGTCTGGAGCCGTATTCCCAAGGCCCCTCCGCCTCCTCCCCTCCATTCTCTGCCTCGAAGTTCAGTTCGGCGTGACCCACGGGTGCATGCCAAGAACAACTGTCACCCTCATTCCCAACACTGTCTCACTTGATGATCTTAAGAAGTGTCACAAATTCCCTTTTTATGCTCCTTTTATCTATATATAGAATGGAATGCCTGTAATAACAGTCCTGTTCTGGAAGAGTTGTAGTTTGGGGGTGACGGTGCTATAAAAGCTTTGCCTGGAAGCACTCGCTGTTTTTCCCCTTGGCTGAAGAGACAGGCCCAGACAGGAGGCCTGTCCTAAGATCCACAACTCAGAAGCAGGCCTTGTCCTGTGGAAGCTTTTCCACACCTCCAACTGGACCACCCTCTAGATGTGTTTGGACCTGGCAGATTCCATCATCCTCAGCTAGCCAGCTTGTAGTGATGGGAGTTGTAGCCCGGCACATTTGGAAGGAGCCTGCGTGAGGAAGACTGCAGCAGTGTATTCTGAAGTCTGGCAGGCGGGGTGACCAGATGCAGAGGGCAAGGAGAGCTTGACAGGTTCAGCTTAACCTGCAAGGGTAAGAAAGACCGTAGGCCCTGGTGTCTCCATTTCTACAGCCATTGAAGGTAGAGCGATCTGGTCATTTCCAGCACTGTGTCTGCCTAATTCTTCCCTAATTTAAGGGAACCTCACCCTTTGCCAGCATTCCCTTGCCCTAACCCAAGGAATCTCTTGCTTTCTAGAACGCTGCAAATGCAAGCCGATCAAAGCTACACAGAAGACTTATCTTCGGAACAACTACAACTATGGTAAGTATCGGCCTTATGGTAAGTAACCTTTGAAGGAGTGAAGAAGGTTAAATGGAGGTGGAAAATATTTGACAGAAATAGGTTTGTGAGCAGCTGCTCTTGCCTGTCTTTATCCCCAAAGCCAAGTGAACTCAGTCAGCTGTTGAGAGAGAAATCAGATTTCGACCCTCCCTTCCCACCAGGCATAGATAGGAGTGTCAAGATCAATCCTTCATTGGAACTAGCAAGGGTTGTTCCTGAATCCAGGATTACTTGATGGAAGAGGCTTCTTGATGGAAACTTGGAAGAGATGAATTAATTCCACCTTCCCCTTCTTAGCTGCTGCTAGTTCAAGATATCAGAGCAACAGTAGCAGGAAATGGAGAAAGGACTTTCCTAGCCCTTCCCTTTGCTGCTGACAGGTGATAGTTTTGTGGTACTCGTGACAGCAGTGATGGAAAACTGAAGGCTGCGTTTCAGCTTCCTCCGTATGTCATTCGCTCTACTTCCAAAGCAGAGAAGTGAGCATGGAGCTTTATGTTTTTAAAACAGCACTATCCATGCAAAAGGGGGGGGGGCAGGTGTCATCTGCAGGTCTGAATGAACTTAAAGGTTTGCAGAATCACAAAAATGTTTAAGGAAAACAGTTCTAAGGTGGGGCAGAAGGAACCCAAAATTGCCCAATTTTGGCAAATCTCCGAATTTGCTTTTTGACAGGGAAATAGGCTCTGATCCATAGCTCCATATTGGATATTTTCCTGTGAAAAACACGTGGAAATTGGCTCATCAGTTCCCTAGGCCTGCTGTGGGGGCAGTCTGGCAGGTTTGGCTGACATTGTCACCCCAACAACAGCTACAACAAACCATAGATTGGCAAGTGATAAAGCGATGTGATCTGTGGCAAGTGATCCAGCTGCACATGACATGACAGCACAACCCATCTTGGCTAGTTACTGCAATGGGTTGTTGTATTGTGCAAACTCAGTCAATAACTGACAAAGTGCAGACTCTGTTGTTACAAAATGCAAAGGATCTTGTAACATCTAAGGAAATTCCTTTAAAATATCAATAACAACAAGCAGTGATAAAAATGTTACTTTAAAATAGCTCTTACAGGTTGACCTCTCAAAATATTTTGAAGTACATCAGAAGCAACGAACACGTACAGTTTTAGCTGTAATGCAGAACCAGTTGTGCCTTGTCTGTGAAAATAAATAACTTTCCAATGAACAGTCGGAGAAGGGATATGGGAAGCTGCAGTGCCTTATTTTATAGCTCTGATTATGAAAGTCCATTTACAGGGGCTACTGTGGAAAGGAGGGGAGGCGGAATTTGGTTTCCTCCAACAGAATTGTTGATCCAGAATAAAACTCTGTGTTTTGTTCGATTTTAGTGTAAGTTACATGGGGAAATGATTCAGCCCTTTTTAGCCTCACAACAACCACATTAGGGTAAGAAAGCTCTGAGAGAGAATGAATGACCCAAAGTCTTCCAGCTTCTTTATGAGCGGGTACTTGAACCTGGAGTGCCCTGGTCTTATTCTGCACCCTAACTCTGCTCTCTGCAACCTAATGCCCTGCAGATCTATGGCCATGCAGAATACATGATCCAACTTGCCAGAAGGGCACCAGTTTGGGGAAGGCTGCCATAACCATCGCAACACAACAACTCTCTGGTGATACCACAGCCAGCCATATCTAAGAAACTGCAGGAGTATCAAGGGGATGGCTATAAATGGGAGTCCAAATTGGGCAGACACAAAACCATTGGTAGTTTTTGGTAGGTCAGAGTAGACCTACTGGGATCAAGTCCATCATGCTTTCACTGGCTCCAGTCTGATTAAATCCAGCTCTAATCCAGTGGTTTTACAAATATATAATCTTTACAGGCACTCCTGCATAAGGAAATCACCACCATCACCATGCTTTTAAGAATATGAAGGTCATCTTGTTGATGTTGCTATCAACATAACAACACTAATAATGATGGTGGTGGTGATAGAGATGGAGAACAAGGCCTTCATTTTCTTAAAAATGCTTAATTGTGGGAAGTCTGGGTCCAAGAGATGAAACATTCTGAAGTTCATGTTGACATGATTTTAACTCCTTTCTGCTATTTTCCTTTAGTCATTCGGGCTAAAGTGAAGGAGGTGAAGACCAAATGTCATGATGTCACTGCAGTAGTCGAAGTAAAGGAGATTCTAAAGTCTTCCTTGGTGAACATTCCTCGGGACACCGTTAACCTGTACACAAACTCCGGTTGCCTGTGCCCACCTCTCAATGCTAATGAAGAATATATCATCATGGGTTATGAAGATGAAGAACGCTCCAGGTAACTCCCTCCCTCCCTCCATAATATAGAACATACATCATTCTCCATGAGGTGGTGGTTTGAGTGTTGGCCCGGGGACCCAGGAGCTCCAGGGATCACATTGCATTTATCTCCAACCTGTTTTTGCTCCTGCAAGGAACCCAAGGTGGCTTACATAGCTCAATAACAACCCTGTGAGGTAGGTCAGGCTGAGGATGAATTACTGGCCCACAGTCACCCAGTAAGTTTTGTGGCCAAATGGGGACTTAGACCTCAGATCTCCCAGGGCCCCAGGCTAACACTTCAACCACACCACACTGGCTCTCGGTAATCAAGCTGATTTCCATGGGAGAAGACGCTCCCTAAAAGCATTCAGACTCTCCAAGGTTTTACAGATATAAAACCAGAACCATGAACTGTGCCCAGAAGCTGATTAGTAGCAAATGCAACCCTTCATATTCTGGAGTTATGTATAATGTGCAGTATTCCCCAGCAGTAGCTCAGAAGCTGCTTTTAGCAGCTATTTTCAAAATATTTAGTGGTAACACCACATTCTTGAATCAGCCATTCTCTTGCTGTAATTTTTTGTCCGTCAGTCAAGCCAGTCAGCCTGTTTGCAGTGAGAAAGGCAATCTGCACAGTGGCTTGAATGCTAGATTTTGCAAGGGGCGGGGCCCAGTTCAGATCCTGGGAAGATCATTGTATGGACTTGGACAAGGCATATTTTCAGCCTGGTCCACCTCACTGGGTTGTTGCAAGGATAAAGCGATGACCGAGTGTAGGATGCTGTGAGTATTTGTTGACTGTAGGATGTATATACAATACTAGGAAACAAGGTTTCTTTTAAATATCTAGGGTTGTATTCCAAGTTTGCCTAATTCAAGTCCAATTCATTTCATTTCATTTCATTTCATTTCATTTCATTTAAGTGCAATTCATTTCAATGGGTCTATCTAGGACCAATCCGGATGCAATAATCAATATTCTTCTTTTCATAACTTAAAGCATCTTACATACTTGAAAGGGTGCTATAGCACCATTGCATGCACTAAACAAATACATATAAAATATTTTAAAAAACACATGTGACTCTATCATCACCATCAAATTTCCTATGAAACAACCAAGAAAGCTGTGACCCCTTAAAAATGAGCAGGTTTATTGGGGCATCATTTTTTTGTGGACCAGAGATCAGCACTATTTCCTTAGGTAATTTCATACATGTGCAGGAACTGCTGAGCTGCCCCAGCCCAGCCCAGATCCCACGAAAGCAAGGCCGCTCTCTTCCTCCTCTAGCTTCAGCATGGCTAGTGCAAGCTCGGAGCCAGGAGCTATTGTCTGTGCTAGGACTGCGTGCCCTGGCAGAGCAACAGAAATCCATCTCTCAGTCACTGCCACGGAAGAGGGAGGTGGGCATTCCCAAGACGGGCTCCCTGAAGACAGCATTCCTGACTAGATTCACATTGCATTGGACTGCATAGCCTAACTCTTCATTGTTGTTCTCCTGTGAAATGAGTAGGTTACTCTTGGTAGAAGGCTCCATAGCTGAAAAATGGAAGGATCGTCTTGGTAAAAAAGTGAAGGTAAGCAAGTTCTATTCATTGTTTGATCATGTTTAGCCTTGGAAAGAATCTCTTTTTTTGTTTTGCTTTGCTTTGTTTTGTTTTTTTGGTCCCATCACTGAACATGCTTGTTGACAAAGAAGTAGAACCACACTAAATGCAAGATTGCAGCCTCAGAAATTATCTGTAATCATACTGGAGGTGACTTGGGCAAAGGGCTTCTTCCCCTTTTTATTGTATCCTGTACATCTCATACAAGAAAATGAATTCTAAATGTATACATGAATACATTAAACATTGCTGTAGAGGCTAAACATTACCAATTAATTAGTAATTACCATTTAATTAGTGTTTGGCCAATTAACTACCCATTATATTGGCTATAAAATTTCATACAACTAAATTTGGACTACCAATACAATGTTAGGGTTAAAAATGAACATGGAAATCGAACAGTTTCAGTAAAACCTGTGTCATTTTGCATTTTTCTGTTTTATAATATATGTAAATAACCAGGAACCTTGGAAGCTGCCTGCTGCTGAGCCAGGTGCTTGGTCTGTCTGGCCCAGTCTTGTCAACACAGGCTGGCAGCAACTTCCTAGGGTTACAGGCTGGAGTTTTTCCAGCGTTACTTGGAGAAGCCAGGAAGCAACCATGGGACTTTCTGCATGCAAAGCAAGTCCCCTGCCATGAACTTATATTCTTCTCCAAAGAATGGTACAAGGGTGATTTGATTGGTCCCTTCTTGGTTGTCTTTCTGATGGCCTTCCAAAACATTCTTCCCCCACCAAGTTTTTTGCATATTTTATGGGTTGCAAACCTGCTCTACAGCATTTTGTCAAATTGATGACAGCTGTGGTGGGGCCTTATTTAGTGCTGAAGGGTGGAATAGAAATGCACTAAACCGATATATATATAAATGTCTAATAAATTAAGTGTGCCCCTTTGCTGACCCCTGCATTAGAGCAGGGATTTAATCCTCCAGCATGCAGCTATGGGAGAAATCGCCAAAGCCATGATTGGTTCCTTTCCGCTGGTCAGACAGAGCAGCAAACAGGTGGCAGGTGAGGGACGGTGGTGGCCAGACTGTTTTTTCGGGACAGAATGACCTGGGGTTTGGCAGCATACACATCTGCTCTGCCAGAGAACCTGTGTACCTCACTGCATACCCAGAGGCCCTTTTTCACTGGGGGCCCATGAGATCTTTTCACCACTGTGTCTCAGATTGGTGTGGAGATTCCCCATTCACAGCGGCTCATCTCGTGGTTTTTCTGCTGCCAGAGCATGAAGCAGTCACTCATTCATGCCGACGGGCTAGGAAGGATCACCGGGCTAGTGAATGCCAGCCTGGTACTTGCACAGCTGTGGGCCATGGTGACACCCTTTCTCTGGATTTGATCTGTGCCAGTCTTCTCCCCACCACACTCTCCAAACCATGAGTGATCACAGCTCTTCCTCCTGTGTGATTGTCCTGTGCATAAAGATGTAAAACAGAGAGCTGCAGTCGCAGGCCACAGAGTTTGCAGTCCCTCTGCAAGCTTATAAGCAGGGAAGGAAATAGCCTTGTTCAGTTGCCTGGTTCCACACAGAAAAATATTTGTGGGTATTGGGATTAGGTTAGGGTTAGGGTTACAGTCCCTGAAGTTCTGTGCGTAGCAGCCTTCCCTAACCTGGGCCTCGCCAGATATTCCAGACTACAACTCCCAGCATTCTGTACTGTTGGTCATGCTACTTGAGGCTGATAGGAGTTGAAGTACAGGGTTTGTATCCAGGATCTGTCATCTGAAAGAAAGGGTTCCAACTGAGGAAGCCTCCCCCCCATTCACCCCATAGCTCATCCCATTTAGCAGGGTGTTCTGAGTCACTGTCTAGTGTTTTCAGCAGGGTGGAAGGTGGGAAGGAGGGAGGTGGAACAGCCACTTCCACCAGTGTAGTTGGTCCAGCATAAATCTGGATCCAGCCCCAAAACATCTGGAGAGCATCAGGATGGGGAAGGCTGGTAAGCGGTGTGCATAGTGATTAGACCACTGGACTGGGACTTTAGAGATTCTGGTTCTAGTCTCTGCTCAGCCATGGAGCTCTCTGGATGACTTTGGGTCAGCTGCTGACTCTCAACTGAGCCTACCTCACAGGGCTGGGAGAAAATGAAAAAGAGGCGGATGGTATATTATTATTATTATTATTATTATTATTATTATTATTATTATTATTATTATTATTATTAGAACATTTCTATGCCGCCCCTTGCCGAAGCCTTGGGGCGGCTTACAGCACAATAAAATACAATACAATACAAAAATAACAATATAAAATTAAAATTAATAATATAAAATAAATAAAAAATATAAACGATATACAAGGAGTTAGAAAAGTTATAAAAGAAAAGAAAGAAAAGAAAAGAAAAGTCGCCCTGGCCAGAAAAATAAGTAAATATTGTTAACAATTAAAATGACGTTTAAATAAAAAGGTCTTCACCTGGCGCCGAAAAACAAATAACAATGGCTCCAGGCGGACCTCTCTGGGGAGCCTCTTTGAGCTCTTTGCAAGAGGAAAAAAGCAGACTGCCAAAGCCACAGAGAATCAGACAGACATGTAGTAGGCCTGTGGGTGTGCATGCACTGAAGATTGTGTGTAAATGGTATTGGGAGTGTTTGGAGGAAAGAGCTGGGGCCAGAACCCTCCACTGTTACACACAGAGACCAGCACTGGAAATTAGAGATGACATGAAATGGGACAAAAAGGGTTTGTTTGGCTGCAGTTTTGAGCTGTCGATTGTCCCTTACATGCACTGGTGGCTCTCCTGCCCAGCTGTTGTGCTTGTGTCAGTCGATTGCTCTTTCCATTTGGTTTACAGGCCCATAGCTGGCTTCCCTTAGGCATTTTGTTTTAAAAATAAAGCTAAATGCAACACACGGGCTGGTGTGGGCCAGTCCATTAGCACTGTTCATAAGATCTCTGAGCTGGCCTGATCAAAGAAAGGCTGAAAGGGAAAAGGGCCATCTTGAAAAATTGTGTGCATGATGCATCTTGCATTTCTAATAATGCCTTAGGAGGTAGTCTTACAAATATCTGTGCATGGGTGTACAAATCATTCAGTGGCTTTCGCCAAAGTTGGAACTAGTGTTGGTTTAGGTAGGCACATGCATACAATGTAAACTAAATTAACACCCCTGCTGTCCCCATCTCCATGCATGTGCAAAACAGGGCTTGCAGGATTACGGATTCAAGATAAAAGTGTGTCTTTTGAAATGACACATCTCCCACCTACAGTTTGAAACTCAGAAATAGTAGTGAAACATGCAATATAAAGTCTTGTTTCTATCTTGCAAATCATACTGTCAGTTTTTGATTGGAAGAAAGCACTTGTTGCAAAATAATGGGATTTAATTTGGTGCAGGTAATTAAGGCTGCTGTATAAACTACTTGTTAAGGATGCTTTATATGAAATCAGAAGTACATACAAAGCAAATGAAGAATATAGCTAATTCAAAGGTAAAAATAAAGGGTTGAATGATATGAATTTATTTGTCAATACAGCATTGAACAATTACCCAGTTCAAACATGCTGGCAACAAATTATGGGTTAATCAACCAATTATTTGCTACTTTACTTGTCAATTCCATCACCATTCTGCATATGCAACCTCATATCAGTCTAACTGGAGGTTGCTCCATGACATCTGAACCCAGCCCATATCAGTTAATTATGGGTTAAACCATCTGCAGTTAATGGATGGTTTGTTCTTTGGGTAACCTATACAGTCTGTGTTTGGCCATTATGGCCAATCGGAGGCTCCATGTGTAAAATGACAGTGGTACACACCACAACACAAATTGTGGGTAAGTTAATGCAGATTCTGCCACATTTACATGTGAAGAGCTTTTAGTTATCATGTGACAATTTCCTCTTTTTCTCCAAAAGTGACCAGCCATAAGCCATAAAAATAGTCTTGTGTGTATTGCATTTGGAATATATTGCAAAGGAACAGATGAGATCTATGCTAAGATTTTAATAGGTTCTAATTAGATAGGACTGCTATAGTACCAGGGCCTTATGGTGGGGCAGGGGAGGAAAGGGAGTGAGCTAGTGTTGACTGGCCTATCCATTTTTCCTTCTCTGTCTGCCAGAGCCAAGTCTTTGCAACATTACTAGAGCTCCGTGACTGAAAACAGAAACGGGGAGAGGGCAGAGACACCCATGCTGAGACAAGCCTGCTGCTCGCTCCAGCCAGGATGCAGCCAGTGCTTCTTGCAAAGCATGCTTTCAAACGAAAACTAAAGCTATGAAGTTGTGGCTGCGTTCCAGTCCATATCTGCTCACTATGATAAGTCATAGAATAGCTTTTATTGTATTCTAGCATAGTTTGCTGTATTAAAAAGATCAGAAGTAGCATGTTTCTGGAAGGAAGTGCCATTGTTTTAAACTATCCCCTCTCTCTCTCTCCCTCCCTCCCTCCCTCCCTCTGCAAACTTGCAGCGCTGGGATCAGAAGCTCCGTCATCCTGGTAAAGGCAGAAATGAACCCGGGCAAAGTGAATCTGCTCAGAAGTCTGGCAGAACCACCAATCCCCGACAAAGGCGCAACTAAAAGGAAAATGTCACAGGTCAAAAACATTGAAATAATCCACGGACTTGTATAAATTAAAGACTTGCCTAGATGGGGCAGCAAAGGAGAAATTGCACTATTGCACGTTGCATTCTATTGTTTACTATGAGGTCATGTTGTAGCTAATATTAGTTTTATCTCCCCCTTGAATTTTCTGGCCCCTTGATTTGCAGGAGAAAAATGGTATATACTATTCTCTCAATATTCGTGGATAACATCTGATTTTTTAAAAATTGCAAATCTGATGAGGTTAGCAGATGCTATGGTCATTGGACACCATTACCCAAACCAGAAATTGGTGTGTGCTCTGGACACATACATCTCTGGAACATGCAAGCCGCCCCCTTCAGTTCTACAGAGGGACCTGATGCGAACATGTGTTCCTTCCGGAACACAAACAGTCGGATCAGAGCAGTGGCTGGGGAGGCAATAATGACGTAGGGCTAGTTCAAATTATTTTCTCCTTAAATACAAGCTATGAGCAGTTCAGGAGTGAGACTGAGCCTTTTCTGGCACTCTCACCAGGTGTGTGTAGCAGATGAGCGTGTGTGCCGAGAAACTTTCTGTTTGGGTTCCACGCATAACAACTTGTGTGCACAAGCCTTAGGCATGTGTTCAATAGTCTGCATGTTACATGGTGGTGATCCATATAATTCAGCCTTATCCACCACCAGAATGAAGAGCAGACAGTTGTGTTGTGTTGTGTTTCGTTTCATTTCATTTCATTCACAACTGCTGCACAATACATAGCCTGTGTTTGGGTGGAAATATAATCTGGGCTACCCTAAAATTACACAGGAAAATGGAATCAAGAGTACATTCAGAATCTACTTTTTTCTATGTGAGAAAAAATTAAGGCTAAATGCACATGCAAAATAAATCTGGGGGTGTACTTGTAGAACCAGAAACAAGAGTGTTGCAAACTACTGCTGTGATTTAGCAATGCAGGCAGAAGGAAATCAAAAATTGCGTAACAAAACTATTTTTTGCATTTGTCATTTTACCTGTGCAGTGATGGAGGCTTGGTTGCCCTTGGCGTTCACTGCCTCCTCCCCCACCCCCTTCCTCCCACACTTGAAACCCTTCTTGGTACTATGGAAAAAGGATTATAAAAAGGGCTTCTACCAAGCATTCAGTGCATATCTGAGCAGGCCTGTTAAATGCTGATTCCTCTTAAATAAACCACTTGTATTAAGTCTAGCTTTAAAGCCCTAACCATGACAAATACTGCACAGAGGACTTGCTGGTGAATATCTCCATCCTTGTGGGAAAGGTTGCATAGCACCGTTAAGTCTTGCCAAAAGTTAGGTTGTACTTGCTCGCGGATAACATGTGCTTCCCTTTTTCTTCTTTCACACTGGTTGCAATGTCACAGAGGTGGGTTGTCACCACCAGGCCTCCTTGGCCTAGGCCTGCACTTTGTCATTTTGTCAGTGTCATTTTAATTGTTTTTCAGTGTCTACTTTCAACAGCAGCAGCATCTGACCAGGCAGTCCAATAATTACCGCTATTAAGAGAAGTACAAGTGTACTTCATGCAGCATGTCTCATAAAAGAACTGCAGCCATAAACAGAGACTTTATTCTTACTTTTTGCAACAAATGTACAATTTTTAGCCAATGATATGTATTTCTATTCAACATGTACCATCTGGGCATCCTGACAAGTGGTGTCCTTTAAGCCTTACAAAACAGTGCCAATAGCTGGAAACTGTAATTCTCCCTCCCTCCCTCTTTCTTCTCTGTCTCTCTTTAAAGTACAGAAATATCAGTAGAATACTGAACTAAAATAAAGCAAATATTTTAGCAGAAAATAAAACATTTATGTTACAAACTGCTTTGGCATTCTCACTAACCACTGTGGTGATTCCCTTCAGAAATGGAGTTATGGCTTAAGCAATGAGTGTGCAAACCATGCCACAGAGAACGCGATGCTAACGGATGGCCTTCAAACAAACAAACAGATGAATAAATAAATGCAAATTGTCTCAATGTAGAAAAACCTTCCCGATGTTCTGCCCCAGAGTTCTCTCACAGTCCTGTGTGAGCAAGAGACAAGCAGGTAGGTACAGACTGGATTTTCACTGGTGGCTGCAGGAGAACATTGGAAAACAGGTTTCATCAATTTGGTTAGCTTGGATACACCCCTGCACTTATTCTTCACCCCTGCCATGGTGGGACAGCACCGTAGTGATGTCCAAACCTGGCTCAGCCACCTCTGTTAGCAATCCAACTGGGCACCCTTGCAATATTGAGTCTTTGCTACACATATGTCGTCTGTCATATTTATCTCTTTATTTTACCAATGTTTGTCCCCACCTTCAGCACAAGTGATCTCAGAGGGGCTGATAAATTGAAAGCTGCTGCTCTGCTACTCTCCTTACCCAATTTTATTCTTACAGTAACCCTGCGAAGTCAGTCAGGCTAAGAAAGAGTGTGCATGCAGCTGGCCCATGGTTGGGCCAGTCCTGGTTGAATCAGGATCTGAACTGGATATTCTAGGCCTCATCCAACGTTCTAACCATTATAACACAAGAGACTCTCAAAAATACATTCCTTTATAGTTCATTGTATTTATATCCCACTTTTTTCTTTTGCAAGGCACACATGGAGGCTTGCATGCTCTTCTGCTCCATTTTATCCTCACGACAACCACCCTGTGAGGTAGTTTAGGCTAAGAGTGAGTGACTGGTCCAGAGTCACTCAGCAGGCTTCATGGCTGAGTGGAGACTAGAGACCTAGTTTCCCAAGGGTGAGCCCAGCTCTCCAATCACTGCATGATGCTGGCTCTGGTTTTCCCTTAGAACACCCTAAAACAAGCAGAAAGCTCTTAAAGTCTTCTTCCAAGTTCTAGACAAGCTACAAGGATGCAGCTGCAGTTGGAGGATCAGCTTCTTGCAACCTTTTCCAGAGACTCCAGGCCCTGCCTCATCATTCTCCATTTGAAGCCAAAGAAAAGGCACCAATACTCACCCCGTTGTGCAGATTCGAACCAGCGACCTTTCGATTAACCAGCAAAGCAGCCCAGCAGTTTAAACCACTGTGCCACCTGCATCCCCTATTTAGCCTGACTTGAGGCACTTGTAGGTTACAGAACCATCTCAGAAGCCTCTGTTTTTGTGGCTGACCGGTCAAACTCGGGTCTAAAGATTGAGAACCTTAAGAAACTGTGGCGAGGGTCTTTGAACAATGAGCAGACTGAACATGGGTCACCTGGAGGCAAATTTTCCTTAGAGTGGCAAGATATATTGCAATTCTATTTAAATTGTAGAAACTGTTTCTGGCTTTACATTTACGCGTGTGCATATGCAAATTTTATATGCGGAGACCCATGTCCTCTTTGGCCCTCTTTTTCAGTGACATTTAGCCTTTATCATAGCAATGTTTACGTGGCCACCCAGTCCACAGGTTATAGAATATTCACTGAGGATTTTCCAGAATTTGCTGCTCTGCTGATGGGTTTCAGTTCTGGATTTGCTTCAGACATGTTCCTCTCCACCACATAGGCAGGACTATACTTTCCCCATACACCTCTCCTCTCACTTCCACTTCAACCTCGTGTGGCTAAACAAATACAAATTGGGATCATATTGCAAAATCACAAATACAGATGGGTTGAATAAGGTTGACAAAAATACCTGTGACGGCTGACTTGGACCGTACATATATAAATTGTGGAAAGAAGTGATATTATTGTGTTGTACAGCAAGCCTTCAGAGACACGTGTGTGATTGGGTGCAGTGGGATGTAGGGGAGGACTGATTAAAACCATACTTTTCCCACATCTGGTTGCTATTATTTCAGGGGAACACACATACAATGACAATCTCTGTGGATAATTGACATGGTGCTGCTCCAGCATGCAGGAGAATTTATATATCCTCAAGCATAAAATGGCATGAGGGAAAAGCATTTTATGGCTATCATCCTATCCATCCAAATGCTCATGTATGAGGAAGGAAGGGAGGTGTTCCTCTAGACGGCAAGTGTTCTGAACTCTATACCACATTGATCTTGAAAGTTGCTGCAGTGGCAGTTTTGCTCCCCAGGAAAAGGTGGGTTTGAAAATGAAACTCTTAGAAGGGCTTGCTTTCCAAAGGAAAAGAGGAATAAATACATTTTATTAGGAATGGCATCTTGTATCTTCTCGATAGTTTTGAACAGAATTACTGCGGAAGCTTGACTTAAACCTACATTAAAGAAGACAGTAGAAGTGCACTTTGGAGTGCAAAGGGGGGAGGACTCCCATTCCATTTTCTATCTTTTCTTCTATAGCCCTCCCTTCTGATGTATTGCTCACAGGGAAACTCTGTTCTAGGAAAAAGCCAAAGAAAAAAGAATTTGGGAAGATAGATTGCAGAGTTAAATAAGATCCCCGCCCCCCCCCCCCCCGGGGGGGGGGGGGTGTGGGGGGGGGAGGGGGGGGGGGAGGGGGGGGGGGGGGGGGGGGGGAGAGAGAGAGAGCTTCTGTCAACTTTAGCTTTGGGCCTGTCCCCTTTTTGGCCTTACAAAAAGCACTCCAGGCCAAAGGCAGAGAGCCTATCTGCAACTGATAGGCCCGTCTAAGAAAACCAGCCCTGAGCCCCAAAAGAAATAAATAAATAGCTTCCTAACCTCTGGTTTGGTGTCCCTTATCTTTAGTGCTTCCCTCCTTTACAAATTGCAACCCTTGCACAATTGCTGACATGGCTGAAGCAGAGAATCTGTTTGAAGACATGGCAGTAGATTCCTCCTTCACATTCCTTCTTCCTCCTCCTTTCCTCTCCTTTTCTTCCTCAGAGCTTAGTGCAAATGTAGGAGGTCAATGCTTGCAGCTGCATATTTCCAGGTGGACACGGGGTGCTTGTGAAAGTTTGCAGGTACTTGGCCCAAAACTTGTGCGCAGCAGGGTTTCTTCCACCTTGTGTAATCTGGGCCCTGATCTATTTGTTCTCTTACATTGGTTTAAAAGTTTCTGCTTTTGGTGGCTTTATTATTATTAGTTGGATTCTCTCTTATGAAAAGAGGACTTTTTAAAGTCAAGGAATAGAGGGCAGGATCAAGCCATTTTTGTAAGAGGTGCATTCTGTGTCTTTTCGTTACTTTTGAAAAATTGCTGCTGAAGCTTGACAGATGTTTAGCACTACATCTATGCGTTCTGCTTCTTTCCATGGGTTATTTAAAATGAATCCAGCAGAAATAAAACATAGTTCACTGGAATGGCTGCCAAAACCACCTAATCCTATACTGACCTGCATGGTGGCACAGGCTTACTAACAGGAAGAGTGTTGATCTTTTGTTCTCCTCCTCCAAGTTCAGGCTGAGTCTGGGCAGGGGGAGCCTTCAGCAAGATGCTTTCGGCGAGCTTTCTCCCTGCCTCCTCGTTCCTGCCCTCACTCCCCCTTCCTCTGGACCAAATCAGTACAAAAACTCGAAGGGCGCATGCCAGGCCAGTGAAAGATGCTGCCATACCTGTTCACTCTTACCTGTTCAGGTGTGGCTAGAGAACAGGTAACCATAGCATGGAAGAGAAGCATTCTGTGACCAGCAGGCTTGGGGTGCCATGGACCACTGGCAGGGGCCGAGGCTTTGATAAGCACTCAGCAACACCCGCTTCTGGTGACAATCCTACTTAATCCTTCCCATGTTTAGGCTGTAGTCCCATACACTGAGGGCTGAAGCAATATGATTTTTTCTTACATGCTGAAATGGTAATCTGTAGAGAGAGAAAAAAATGGAGAGGGACAGAGAAAGACAATTTGTGTGCCTATGGGCATGCATGTTAGCCAGGGCCAAGGCAGGTTTCTCACACATTTGCTCCTCACTCAGTTCATTAATCTATAGAGAGCTATGACTATCAACCACTCAGGCACGTCCTGTTAGCGTAGTTTCTCCTGAGCTGGTGCCTTTCAGATGTTTTAGTCAACACTATCCATCATCCCTGATCACTGGTCAGCTGGCTGGGGCTGATGGGAGTTGTATTTTGCAATCTCTTGAAGCAGCTTGGGGAAGGGTGAGTAAAAGGAGAGCTTCACATGGGGGTTTCTGCACTACAGTGGCTGAGGAGAGAGAGCAGCTGCACACATTCCATCTTTGACGCATGCCATTTATCTCGGCAACTAACCTGCAGTCACATATTGTTCACCTTTGTTGACCAATAAAATGTGCACTGTCAGGCTTTCTGGGTGCCCCAAAGTGACTACATGACCACTAGATGCTGTTAAATAATGAGCAACAGGTATTAAAGTGGCCATGTATTTGCATCTTCAATTATATTGGTGGAAATAAGGATTGTAACTGCCTGTGCTAAATAGGGACTGAATATCCTGGAGAAGCCTGCATATACAGCAAGGTCATAAACTGCTTATTCTCAGCCTACTGAATAATGTGCCATAGACAGCACATGCCACCCGCCCACCCAGTTAATGGTTAAATCGTTCTGTTTGTGTTTTGCAGGTGGGTTTTTCTGTTCTTCCATCTGATCATTGACAGAACTGGAGTTGTTTTTACTAGACATTTGTTCTACTTGCACTAAGCCACATGGGCACTTGTTCACATTAACACACATGTACATTGGGGTACATGTGCAAATCCTGAATAGTTAATCCCAAAAAGTGAAAAACTAGTCCTCAGTTCCACAGAAGAAGCGACCAGTCTCTGGCAGAATTTGCATATCAATTCCTAAAAATCCAGACTCATTTGGCTCTGTTGCAGATTTCTCCAACAACTCTAGGGATTACATGCTTTACATATAGCACTTGCCAGGGGCTAGGCCTGCCACTAGCATCTTATTTCAAGGAATGAGTCTGTCTTTAGTAGTGAAATTTAATATCAACAAATAAGAAGCAATCCTGG